GGAGTAGGGTTCAGTATCTGAAAGAGGAGCCGCACAACAAATGAGAGAAAAAGACACGAGATAATTTTGCAATATTGGGGGACCAGGCTGCAAGTCCCGAAGGACTTCCCCAGTGCTCAGGCCTCACCAAGCTTTTATTGATCTGGGATGCACCCATAGCATAGCCCTTAGCCAGGTGACCCCCTAGTAACAAGCAGACTAGCCCATCAGCAAGGATTTACATAATAATAAATGGGGGAGTAGTTTCAGCTACCACTGTCTGGACAAACAGAGGTGGCGCCTAGCTCCGAGCTTTGCTAGGGCTTCAAAGGCACTCAGCCTTCGGGGGGTTTCGGGGAGTTCTCTGTCTATGCTTATCAGATAGTGAAGGCAATAAACAGTTTCCCACAGGTGATGTCTATAATACTATCAACAATAAAAACATATTTAAAAAACGTTCCCAGTGTACTTACAGACCCGGGCTTCTGTAGTTGATCCTGGGCATTGCGTGCGGTAGACTTCCCCTCACCTTTTTTTGGTGAGTTTTCCACACCTTTTCGGTGAAAACTTCCTTTTCTTGCTCCAGCGAGACCTGCACTTCCAGATTACCTGTTGGGCGCCAGATGTCGAGTAAGACTCCCTCCACGTTCTGCGTGGGGTAGGGTTCGGTATCTGAAAGAGGAGCCGCACAGCAAATGAGAGAAAAAGACACGAGATAATTTTGCAACTGTTGTGCCCAGAGTTCGGGGTGCCCAATAATCCACCACTAGGGAGCCTCTTCCGATGCAAAAGCAAGGAGTCTTTAATCAATCCTAGGATTGGCTCCCAGCCTGTCCGACGCAGCGGTAAGGTGAGAGAGCATGTCCCAGGAGAACAAAGGTTATATAAGGCTAGTTATTTGGGTGGGCTTAGGGGGTGACGTGTGTTACAGGGATTGGTCATTTAGGTCAGGGTTTTACAGCATAAGGGTCAGGAAGTGACCAGCACATTCTGAAGGTTAGAGCTGTCCCCCACTATAGCCTTATTAGGACCTTAGCTGCATTCCTGGAGCTTCATTGGTCCACTCAGGTGGTGGTTGGGGGAGTTAGGTCAATACTGGCATTCTTGTGGTCACTCAGAAAAGGAGGGGGCTTGGGCTGAGGGCCCAGCCTTGCAAGACAAGATAGAGGAGGGGGAGGAGAGTGTGTCTCTGCTTCGTCCTTGAAGAGGGAGGAGGGTGTGTTTCTGCTTGGTTCTTTCATTCCCCCCCTTGTCTTGGAACTCATGTCTCAATCATGGGACGGACTGCATTTCTATCTCTCCCTCCATCGCTAGAGGCCGGTATTAAGCTTGTAAGACCATTAATTGAACTACCCCTATGCATTCCTTGACAAATTGAACTAATTTGTTAATAATATAAGGGCCGAAAGTTAGCAACATTAGGAGGATTACAAGGGGTCCGACGAGGGCCGAGATAAGAGTAGTTAACCATGGGGACCAGTTAAACATGGATTCATACCAAGACTGAGACTGCTCCCTCTCTAGCTTTCGCTTCTGCAGTCCTTCCCTTACAAGGGCCATGGTTTCTTTTACAACTCCTGAGTGATCAACATAGAAACAGCATTCCTCCCCTAGAGCTGCACATAGGCCCCCCTGCTGCATGAATAGCAGGTCTAGACCTCTTCTGCTTTGAAGTACTACTTCAGACAAGGAAGTAAGGGATTCTTGCAGATGGGTGATGGATTTTTCAATTCTTTCTATGTCTAAGTCAATGGCTGCTCTTAGGGCTCCATAGTTTTTGTCTTGTATGACAAGCGAGGATATTCCAGTTCTGGCTCCCACTAGTCCTAGTCCCAAGAGAGCTGCCACAGTTAGGGCAGTAATAGGCTCCCTTTTGCTTCGGGGGTTAATGGTGTCTATTCTGTTAAGAACTTCTTTCCCCGAGTGATATATTAGCTTAGGGATTAACTGCACAAGTACGCAGAAATCCTCTTTTTGGGAATAAAGGACTAAGGAATGGACACAAGGAGCGAGGCCACTGGAGCAGGCCCACCATGCATTCTCAGGGGGTAGAAGATATGCTGGCTCTTTAGGGGTAGCTAGAGTTTCGTTACAGAGATGTGACTGTTTAGGGGGGACGTTGCCTATGCAAGTTCCTTGCCCTATTACCGCCTGGAGGGTTAACCTTGCAGCAGTTTGCTGCCACCTGCAGGAACTGGCAGTCGAGGCCATTGTATAATTGCTTTTCATCGCAATGCCCTCATAATATGGTGGCCTGACATCTAGACAGAGCCAACAAGACTTGGTTAAGTTGGGCTTTGAGGTGTTTAACACATAATACGCTCCAATGACCATGTTCCAAAGGGGGTCTACCTCAGATGGTAAGGTATGTCCCAGGGTCTGGTTTCTCGTGGTAGGTGTAAGTGGGGTGAGGGGCTGTGATGCTGTTCTTCCGGGCGTGGGTACTCGGGGCGTGGTAGGCCGAGGCCGGGGAGCCAGCATCTGGTTGGGCCCTACTCCCAAAGGGGTGTGATGATGGAGGGGAGTGTTTTGGACCTGGAGGGTGAATAATATTTCAGGGTAATCAGTAGCGTACAGCATTCCAAATTCTCTGCACTGATAGATTCGGAGTCCCCAAGTTTTCCCGGTGTCCCATCCGGTAGCCTTTTTCCCCTCTTCTCTGAAGGTAATGCGCACGGGGTTGCAGTAGACCCCGCCAAAACGGGGGCAGGGTGGAGCAGCTGGTCGTCCAACGTTGATCAGGTCACCCTTCTTTGGAACCTCCCACCAAATGTGTCCAGTTGAGACACATGACCAGGAAGCACAGAAATAGTCCCCAGCACCCCCACAAGGGTTTTTTTTCCCAGGGCCGAGTTTGCGAGGGCTCGGGGCAAACGTAGAAATTGAGTGTCCTTAATGGACTTGAGTCAGTAGGTCGGTTGCCTATCCAAGCAGTTTTACAGGCTACATGGGCTGTTAGTTTGGGAAGGAGAGTCAGGAGATCAACCCACAACTCGGGGAACCAAGTGTCTTTGGGATGGATTTGAGAAGCCTGGCTGAGAACTACCCCTGATTTAGTGTCTATAATTTGCCAGGTAACATTATAGGGTGCGTGTGGGCTCCCTGTAGCAGGAGTGATCGCGAGCAAGGTTACCAGAATCAGGCAGGTCGAGCGCGCCTTGAGCGGGTTGTGCTGATTGTGTTCCATGTTCCATTGCACGATGAAGTCCTCCCGGATTGCAGAGGGGTCAGCTGGGCGAGCGTGGGTGTGGTGGATCCAAGTTGCAACGCCATCTACCTTGAGAGCGGTGGGTGTAGTCAGCACGACGACGTAGGGGCCCTTCCAACGTGGCTCGAGGGTCTCCCGGCAATGTCTCTTAACGAACACCCAGTCTCCTGGTCTGTACTGATGAAGCGTTGGGGTTGGGCCAGCCTCATAAACAGCGCGAAGGCGTGGCCAAATGTCCTCGTGTGCCCCCTGCAGTCCTCTTAAGAGAAAAGATATTTCCTGATCTTCAAACTCTGCAAGAAGTTCAGCTTTGAGGTTAGGGATGATGGGGGGGGGGGGGGGGGCTACCAAACATGATCTCATAAGGGGTGAGACCCAGGGTGTAAGGGGAGTTCCTCACCCGGTAAAGGGCATATGGAAGGAGAGCCACCCAGTCCCCGCCAGTCTCCATGGTTAATTTGGTAAGGGTCTCTTTTAGAGTTCTATTCATTCTTTCTACCTGCCCTGAACTCTGGGGCCTATAAGCACAATGTAATTCCCAATCCGCCCCTATGACTTTGGCTACTGCCTGTGTTACCTGCGAAATAAAGGCTGGCCCGTTGTCGGAGCCTATCATAGCAGGAAAACCATACCTGGTTAAGATGTCTTCCAGCAGCTTCTTGGCCACCGTTTGGGCTGTCTCATGCTTGGTTGGGTATGCCTCTACCCAGCCAGAGAAGGTGTCTATGAACACTAAAAGATATTTATAACCATACTTCCCTGGTTTGACTTCAGTGAAATCAACCTCCCAGTGAGCTCCTGGTTTGGTGCCTCTGAGCCTGGTCCCTTGTCCACCTGATCCAGCTCTTGCGTTTGTGAGTTGGCAGGTCTTACAGGAGGTTATAATTTGATTGATTTTGGAGTCTTGTTGGTGAATTTTGATTTTGGCATGCTGAATTAAGTCCTTTAACTTCCGGGCTCCCAAGTGGGTGGACCGATGCATGCGTTCTAATACTGTGATCCCAAGCCAGTCCGGTAGTATGAGTTTCTCATCTGAGGTGTACCACCATCCCTTCACCTCCTTAGCAAGGGGGAGCTTTCTGATCTTCTGCAGCTCTTCCTGAGAGTATTTAGGTTGGTCTGGTAGAACTGGGTCCCCGGGATCTGGTAGTTGTAAAGCCATTGCGGGGACCGAGGTGAAGGTCGCTGCCTTGGCTGCCTGATCAGCCTTTTGGTTATCTCTTGCTACTGGGTCATCTGCCTTCTGGTGCCCTTGACAGTGGATAATAGCTAGCTTCGTGGGGAGCCATAGGGCCGCAAGCAGGTCGAGAATCTCCTGTTTGTTTTTCACTGTTCGTCCCTCTGTTGTCAATAACCCTCTTTCCTGGTAAATCGCCCCGTGAACATGAGCCGCAGCAAATGCATAACGACTGTCTGTGTAAACGTTGAGCCGCTTCCCCGCCCCCAGTGTCAGTGCCTTGGTGAAAGCAATGAGTTCTGCTCGCTGGGCTGATGTCCCAGGGGGCAGTGCTTCTGCCCACACAGTGTCTGTGTCTGTGACCACCGCTGCACCCGCGTACCTGCACCCGTCCCGCACGAAGCTGCTTCCATCCGTGAACCAGGTGGCCTCTGCATCAGGGAGGGGCCGGTCGGTCAAGTCCTTCCGAAGTCCATGTACCTGCTCCAGAATCCCCGCACAGTAATGCAGCAGGGCATCTAGGTCGGGGTCAGGCAGCAGGGTAGCGGGGTTGAGAGCCACGCTGGGATGGAACCGCACTCTAGGAGGGTTGAGCAGTAAGCTCTGATAGTGGGTCATGCGTGCATTGCTCATCCATCAGTCAGGAAGCTGTTTTAGGACTCCCTCAATGGCATGAGGGGTTGTTATCCAGATTTCCTGTCCCAGGGTCAATTTGTCGGCATCCTTGACTAAGAGCACGGTTGCCGCAATGATTCTTAGGCACGGCGGCCAGCCGGCGGCCACAGGGTCCAGCTTTTTAGACAAATACGCTACCGGGAGGCTCCAAGGGCCTAAAGCCTGAGTTAAGACCCCTTTTGTTATGCCCTTGCACTCGTCTACAAAGAGGCTAAAGGGTTTTGTAATGTCCGGCAGGCCTAGGGCTGGAGCAGCCAAAAGAGCTCTCTTTATCTGATTAAAGGCAATTTCCTCTGTCTCAGTCCATTCAAAGGCCTTTCCCTCCTTGGTAGCTTCATATAGGGGCCTGGCAATCTCAGCAAAACTTGGGATCCAGAGGCGGCAATAGCCAGCTGATCCTAGGAATTCCCTTACTTCCCTCCAGGTGGTGGGAATAGGGATTTTCAGGACTGTCTCTTTCCTAGTGTCCGACAACCGCTGCTGTCTGCCCTCCAGTATGTACCCCAGATAACTCACCCTCTCTTGGCATATCTGAGCTTTCTTCGCAAATGCCCGGTACCCTAAGGTCCCTAGGGTAGCCAACAAGTCTTTGGTCCCCTGCTCACAGTCCTCGGCAGTGTCTGCAGCAACCAGGATGTCATCTACATACTGAAGGAGGGTGAGATTGGGATGTTCTCTCCTGTACTCACCGAGGTCCTCGTGCAGTGCCTCGTCAAAGATGGTGGGCGAATTCTTGAACCCTTGGGGTAACCGCGTCCAGGTTAATTGTCCACTGTAGCCTTCCTCTGGATCGTGCCATTCGAAGGCGAACAGGGGTTGGCTTTGAGGCGCAAGCGGCAGGCTGAAAAAAGCATCCTTCAAATCCAATACAGTGTACCAGACTCTAGAGGGTGCTAAAGAGCTTAGGAGAGTGTACGGGTTAGGAACGGTTGGGTGTATATCCATAACTCTTTTATTTACTTCTCGGAGGTCCTGGACTGGTCGGTAGTCATTCGTGTGGGGCTTTTTGACTGGCAGGAGGGGGGTGTTCCAGGCAGATTGGCATGGAACCAGTATCCCTAGGCTTCGCAGTCTTCGGATATGAGGCTGAATCCCCTTCCGGGCCTCCTGGGGCACTGGATACTGTTTGAGTCTTATCGGACTTTCTCCTGGTTTTAACTCTACCAGGGTTGGGGCCCTGTGAGCGGCCAGTCCTACTCCCCCCGTCTCTGCCCAGGCAGTGGGGAATTCTTGTAGCCATCTGTCTATATTGTTCTCTCCTGGGGGCGCCCCCTGGTGGAGGCGATATTCATCCTCCAGTCTCAGAGTCAGAACCTGGATGGGATGGCCTTTGCCATCAGTGACCTGGGGCCCCCCTTGTCTGAAAGTTATTTGGGCTCCGATCTTGGTCAGCAAGTCCCGTCCTAATAGGGGGTAGGGGCACTCCGGTATTACCATGAAGGAATGGGATACCCGGCCTGTTCCTAGATCTACTGTTCTTCGGGTAGTCCATGAATACTGGCTTATGCCAGTTGCCCCTTGCACCCAGGACTTTTTGCTGGCTAGCTTCCCTTGAGGTGTGCGTAGGACCGAGTGTTGTGCTCCAGTGTCGACAAGGAAGTCAACAGGCGTCCCCTCCACTCTAAGAGTTACCCTGGGCTCGGGGAGGGGGTCCGAACCCCGACTCCCCTAATCACTTAGTCCTCCCAGCTCCAAGACCTCCACCCGATCCGCCTTGTTTCCTTTTTTACCAGCCTTCTTTGGGCATTCCCAGACCCAGTGTCCTATCTCTTTGCAGTGAGCACACTGGTTCCGTTGCAGCTTCTTCTTCCCGCCCCAGGCGGTCCCCTTACCTTCTTCTTGGCCATCAGCAAGCTGGCGAAGGTGGCAGGTCCGCTCCTCAGGGTTCTCCGTGGTGGTGGCTAGCAGAATCTTGGCCAGGTTTCGGGTCTGCTTATCGCTGGCAGCCATCATGGCGCGGGCTTGCCTATCCTCAGGGGATTCTCGATTGTTATACACCTTTTCAGCCACTTCCAACAAGTCCCAAAAACTCTTTCCCCCTAATCTATCTATTCTCTGCAGTTTCTTTCTAATGTCTGTGGCTGACTGGTTTATAAAGCTCATGACCACAGCTGCCTTATTTTCAGGAGCTTCTGGATCCATGGGGGTATAGGTGCGATATGCCTCCATGATCCGTTCTAGAAAGGCAGCTGGAGACTCATCCCTTTCCTGCTGTACGTTCCCTACCTTGGTCAAATTGGTAGGCTTCCTAGCAGCCATGCGAAGACCCCCCATCAGAGCCTGGTGGTAGATTTTGAGCCTCTCCTTACCTTCTGCCGTGTTGAAGTCCCATTCAGGCCTAGTTAAGGGGAACGAGACATCTATCTGGGCCTGGTTGGTAGTTGGATTCCCATCTACGCTGGGAACCACCTTCCGGGCCTCATTGAGGATTCTCTCTCTCTCTCCTCCGTTGTGAACAGGACCTGCAAAAGCTGCTGGCAATTGTCCCAAGTGGGCTGGTGGGTGAAAAGAACAGAATCAAGCAAGTCAATAAGTCCACCCGGCTTCTCTGAGAACTTAGGATTCTGCGCCTTCCAGTTATAAAGATTGCTAGTTGAAAAAGGCCAATAAATATAAGGTTGATTGCCATCTGCATCTGGGGGTCCGGCGGCCCATAAGGGCAGGATCTTGATAGTGGAATCGGGTGAGGCGACGGACAGCTCCCGCTGTGCTCTCAGCCGGGTGAGGGGCGGACCTCCCATCGGAACCCCGGCCATTCCCAGAACTCCCGCCCCCGGGACCGGAACTGCGCTCCCGGCCACACCCGGAAGCGGAACCGCATCAGCTTCCCGCAACGGGGCGGGATCTAATCTCTCAGGTGTCCTGAGAAGCTGATACGGGGGAGGAAAAATTAACTCTTCGTCATTACCCCCCTGCAAAACCGGGTAGAGGGGAGCTGGAGCCAATGGCAGAGTGGTTTTTTTCTCCTCCTTCTTCTTCTCCACGTCCTGCAAGGCAAGTATGGGTGCCGGCTCCGGAGGGCGTGGAGCCAGGAAGGGCTTGAGCCAGGAGGGAGGGTTCTCCACGAGGTCCTGCCAAATAATAATGTAAGGAAGCTGATCGGGGTGACCCCCCTTGGGCCGAGATACGACTTCTCTGACCCGGCGAATGGTGGGGAGGTCGAAAGTCCCCTCCGGCGGCCACCCGGCATTGAGAGCCGGCCACTCGCTGGAACAGAAAGTCTGCCATTGACCCTTCTTCACTTCTACACTGAGGTTGTTAGCCCTTCCCTTAATCTCTTTAAAATGATCAACCATAATGCTTAAAGGAGTAGTTTGAGTCTGTCCCATAGCGTCCGTCCAGTGAGTCCACAAAATTAGACAAAAGAACACAGACACCAAACAAACAAAGACACCTAAGAACAGCCTTCCAACCCCGCGGAAGAAAAACTGAAAACTGGACGATGGCCATGTGCCGGCCAGCGGGAGCGACCCACCTCGTCCCAGAGGTCTGAGGGGAATCCACTCCCCTCGCGAGGGGCTTTTACACCCCTCCAGATGGAGGTTCAGAGCATCCCCTGACTCCTCCTGCCCGAGATCCGCCCATGCGTCCACGTTTAGATCTTATCAGGCACAGATTTCAGACGCGAGCTCACATAGGACAGAACAGACGACAGACAGACACACTTACCGCTGCCAGTAGACTCTCCGGAGTGGGGTCCCTCGTGGGTTTTGGGGATCCCGGATGCCCCCCCCAAAATGTTGTGCCCAGAGTTTGGGGTCCCCAATAATCCACCACTAGGGAGCCTCTTCCGATGCAAAAGCAAGGAGTCTTTAATCAATCCTAGGATTGGCTCCCAGCCTGTCCGACGCAGCGGTAAGGCGAGAGAGCATGTCCCAGGAAAACAAAAGTTATATAGGGCTAGTTATTTGGGTGGGCTTAGGGGGTGACGTGTGTTACAGGGATTGGTCATTTAGGTCAGGGTTTTACAGCATAAGGGTCAGGAAGTGACCAGCACATTCTGAAGGTTAGAGCCGTCCCCCACTATAGCCTTATTAGGACCTTAGCTGCATTCCTGGAGCTTCATTGGTCCACTCAGGTGGTGGTTGGGGGAGTTAGGTCAATACTGGCATTCTTGTGGTCACTCAGAAAAGGAGGGGGCTTGGGCTGAGGGCCCAGCCTTGCAAGACAAGATAGAGGAGGGGGAGGAGAGTGTGTCTCTGCTTCGTCCTTGAAGAGGGAGGAGGGTGTGTTTTTGCTTGGTTCTTTCACAATATTGGGGGACCAGGCTGCAAGTCCAGAAGGACTTCCTCCGTGCTCAGGCCTCACCAAGCTTTTATTGATCTGGGATGCACCCATAGCATAGCCCTTAGCCAGGTGACCCCCTAGTAACAAGCAGACTAGCCCATCAGCAAGGATTTACATAATAATAAATGGGGGAGTAGTTTCAGCTACCACTGTCTGGACAAACAGAGGTGGCGCCTAGCTCCGAGCTTTGCTAGGGCTTCAAAGGCACTCAGCCTTCGGGGGGTTTCGGGGAGTTCTCTGTCTATGCTTATCAGATAGTGAAGGCAATAAACAGTTTCCCACAGTGTGCATTGAGGCTTTAAGGATGATCAGCACGTTCACACCCAGCAGATCCTGGGACTAGTCCCTCTGCTGATCTCAGGTGAACTCTGAGATCTAGGTCCTCACATCCCCAAGATCCCCCCGTCCACATCCATGGGGATCCCGGGACTGACTGCTCTGGGGCCCAGAGTCACCTTGCCTTCCCCCATGGCCCTCACCATTAGGCCTGCAGGTCCTGGGACCTTCCCTCTGTGAACCGGGAGGCCGGACCCCCACATGGAGGCCTTCACCTCTGAGACCCCAGGGGAGGTCCCTAGGCCTCACTCCCCAGGGCTCCCTGCAGGAGCTGAACTAGATCCCCGGGTACCTCCGTCTGGTACTCATCCTGATTCCAGGCAGAGTCTGGGCCCTGCAGACCTGAGGTGGCTCCCCTCAGTGCTTGTCCTTGACCCCCTTCTCCCTTCTCTCTGAGAAGGTGAGCGAGGGGTGCAGGAAATAGTTCTCAGTAAGACGCCCCACCGCGGACTCTCAGTGCTGACAAGAGCCCCACCCAGGGTCCCATAGAACTGATAGGAACACCAGGAGATAGATTCTGTAGTGACCTCTGTTCTGAAGCCAGTGGACCCCAAAGTCCTCACTCCGGAGGGCCTCACAACCCTTGCAGAGATAGCTGAAGTACCAGGACCAATGCTGGAGGGGCCGCTTTTGCACCCAGGAAATGGGGGAGAGGTAGAGAAGCCCCTCTTATCACGGGGTTTCTTCACCAGCTCAGATGATCCTGTGGAAACTGTGGTTTCTAAAAGTTAGCTACTACTAAAGATGCTGAGCAGCAGCAGGGAATTCGGGAGGTGTGGGATTGTGGCTGTCTGTCTACAGTTCCCTTGTCCAATGCAGGTGTTTTAACTTTAAGTTCTCATTCTTAGTAATGCATTCTACATCTCTATCTAGCTTGTGTGCATTACTTCAATACATGGAACATAAATATAGGTTACATGTGCTTATATACCCACATATGTGTGTGTCCTGTACTTAAATACTTAAATATGTGTGTATGTGTATATATATTTAGAACATATGTATTTATATGTATATTTCTATAATATATCTATATCTATATCTATCTATCTATCTATATATATATATATATATATATATATATATATATATCTTCTAATTAGTCTGTTCTTTATATGCTATTAAGACAGCATTTTTTAAAAATGTCTTTTATTGGTTTTTCACAGAGAGGAAGGGAGAGGGATAGAGAGTCAGAAACATCAATCAGCTGCCTCCTGCACACTCCCTACTGGGGATGTGCCCGCAACCAAGGTACATGCCCTTGACCGGAATCGAACCTGGGACCCATAAGTCTGCAGGCTGACGCTCTATCCACTTAGCCAAACTGGTTAGGGCAAGATAACAATTTTTGAAAAGCCAGCAATAACCCACCAAGATGGTTGTCAAGTGATTATTAGCATAGACTCTGAATAACATACCTCAACTGTCCCAGCTTTCCCAAGGCAGTGGTATTCCCCCAAGGTTACTGGCATTTGTGGTCTCAACGCCCAGATTTGTGCCAAGATATAGAGCATAAGTTTAAAATCTTTCTTCCTACCTTCCATGTCATCTGTGTCATACAGCCTACAGCCCCTCCCAACTTCCCTACTCCCCCATACTCTCACCCCAGACACAAATGCCAGCTCATCACAAATTTCAGTCTCCTTTAGGGCCTGCTCAAATTTTGTTGTTCAGATATTGAGCTTCATATTGTGTTTGTTTTAAGACTTAATTTTTTACAACACTTGTAAATGGCAGAGAAAAATAAAGATGATGGAACCGAGATATCCTAGTAAGTCCCTGCTCCCTCACATGTAAAATGCCCCCCATTATCAATGTCCCCAACCAGAGTTGTACGTTTTTAACAACAGATGTGCCTACACAGATACGACACCATCAACTTGAGGTAAATACTTATGGAGTTGCTGAATCATATGTTAAAATTATGCTTACTATTATAAGAAACTGCCCAAACAGCTTCTAATGTGGCTGTACTATTTCACTTTCCCACAGGTAATAAATGCAAGTTCCTGCTATTCTACATCCTTAACAGCATTTGGTGTTGTCACTGTACCAGATATTGGCCATTGTCATAGGTGTTTATTTATTTTGTGTGTGTGACATTATTCAGAGACAGCTCAAACCTTCAGATGGCTGTTGTCAAGTGAAGAAAAGGCACAAGCAGGCCTCTTGAGAGTTTTACCCAAAGCATCTTGAGCCTCCTTAACCACGTGAGACAATTCATTATTAGAACTCTATGTTTACATGGTTGGGTTCAGTTTCTCAAAGAAGTGAGACTCATCCACCCTCCCTGAAACTCTTGTCCTCCTGATCAGGATTTGCCTTTTGTTTAAGGGAAGGGGAAGGCACTGCTGGATTCCGAGAGGCCCAGGCAGGTGGAGAAAAGAGGGGAAAGCTCTCCCTCTGAGGGGGTATTTCAAGCAAACTCAGGCACTCCCATGTTCACTCTATTACTCTGCCCTGAGGGGCCTTCATCACTTGACTACTCCACATGAATTGCTCCCAAGTCCTAGTTGCTCCCTTCCCCTCCTTCCTTGCCATGACAGTATACTCATTGCAGGTTCCCAGGATCTAAACAAGCTCCCCACTTCCACTTTCTGCATCAAAAATATGCCCTGGAGGACCCTAGGAGAAAAGCAGCCAAGGCAGCACATTCACCTTGCCGGTTTAAAAATTTATCTGACTAGTGGGTGCAGAAGAGAGTGGGAAACCCATAGGAGGAGCGGAGAGACGCACAGGAAATCTGCTGTCATCATCCAGAGGGATGGTAATTTTATAGGGGCTATTGGGACAGCTCTGGACTTGGACAGGAAATGGAGGTAGACTAGAAGAACTGGAACCTGTGGAGGGAAAGACAACAGGAAGAGAGGTTCCACCACCAGGTTTCTGACTTGACTTGGCGGGGTTGGGCTGGAGTGCAGGTGCAGAAGTCCAGTGACCCTTTTCTGAGATAAAGGGAAGGCAAGGCAGGGTTGTCCTGGAATGGGCAAGGCGCTTGGTCTATAGTATAGCACCACTGCAGAGGGCAGGAGGGAGGTTCCTGCCTCACTGACTGGATCCAGTCTTTGCTGAGCAGTAAGGTCTTTTCAAACAAGGGCTCCCCCATGTATTATAGGTTGTGTATGCAGGATGCCACAGCCTCACATGGTTCAAGAGAGGGATAGCAGAGCTTGGACAAAGCAGTGTCTACTCCAAAGGGGTTTGTGTTCTGGATGTCAATGGGAAAACATTCCAGAAATCTGGTATCTAGCTGTGATGACTCTCTGGTTGCTGACTCTGTGGCCCAGGACCCCAAACACCTGAAGATCCTGACTTTGGAGCTAGAAATTAATGGTTTATAGAAGGAGGTAAGGACATTGCCCTAAGGGGGCCAGGATGCTTTGAAGTTGAGATATTCTCTGGAGAAAAGAAACGCAACACAGAGTCTTTGAAATCCAAATTAATGTCAGTTAACAGCTCACCACAGACCATGTGCTATGCCCAGCAGGACACAGGGATCATCTACTGAAAGCCTCCCTGTGCTCTCTTGAGCTGCCCTGTGTCACTGCCCCTTAATCAAAGTCAGTGTTTTCGTTGGGTGGTTCAGATGTTAGAGTCAGCATATGAAAGATGTGAGTTATTCATGGCAGCTCAGAGTGAATCCTCACCTGCTTTGCATTTTTGCTGTGGCCCA